TATATAATGTCGTGCTTATTGATAAAGGTCTATTAATCCAATTTTGAGGCTTGGGTTTCGCGGGAACCGATGTGTTGGTTCAGCCGAAACTGATCGTTGTCGAACAAATCTCGGTGGATTATCATTTGGACCAACGTCTGGTACTGCTGGTAACCCTAAATTAATTTTGACGAGAAGCGAGTAGAAGCCAACAAATGGCCAGTTTTGGTGTCTTTTCTCCGTACAGACAGCAACCGTTCGTTCATAACGAAGGTGGCGAAAAGGAGAATTTGTTGGGAAGGTGGATGTTCAGAAAATCTGTTTGTTGCAGTTCTTGGTAATAGTGCAACTCGAGAAGATATTCACTGTCGAATTCATCTAAAAACTGGTGCAGTGCAGTAAGATGGCGAGTTCGAAACCACATATTCAGAGCAGCCTGGATCTACTGAGGGCTGAAATGCGGAAGACGGCGAGGCAAGACCGGGAACAAGCGAGCGAGTATATCGTATCTACAGGTACTGCATTTTTGAGCAGCTTAATTGGCGAATATTCAACACCTGTGATGCCACCAGACCACTGTGAACCAATGTACCAGACGACAATTGTGGCAGACGAGCAGTGTTGGACTTTTTCCATTCAGCACATCGTCACATCTCTACAAATGTCTGGCGTTGAGATACACGAGAAGAGTACGGCAGAGGATTCGGTCAGTCGTTACGGATGCACGAATGGTAGCTGGTTACGTCGGATTACGTCGACAACCGGATTAGTTTGTCATCTACAGAAACCTGCGGTGACAGCGACGTATGCCGAGCTACTGCGGAAGTTATGTACTCCGCTGGGCAGCGCAGGAGGAACTTATGCATCGATGATAAACAAACCCGCACATACTAATTTTGGTAACTTGGAATTTTTTACGGAGCTGCTCGCGCAGCTGAGCAGCTGCTGGATGGAAGACGCCGCTCTGGTACGTGCTCTGTTGATCGCAGACGCTTGCGCGCCGTTGCGCCAGCTGCTAGCTGACCCAATTTGGCCAAAAATAGCATGCGATGGAGATGTCATCAACGTGGAACAGGAGACAATGGATACACCAATCGGACCATTTAATCAGGTGAGAGTTAAAATCGCAGCAGTAACGTTGGACACCTGGGCGAAGATGAGAAACGGAACTTGTTCCGGTCCGGCCGAATGGGATCCCGGACATTGGGGTCGCAACGTGGCTATTATTCCAATTGAAACGTGCATGCTGCAAAACGAGTCGACTTGGATCTACCTACTGGCATTCATAACAACACGTCTGTGGAATGGTCTACATCTCTACAATACTACAATTAGACCAAACACTAAGCTTAGTGCTGAAAATCCATTAGTGGAATACGTTGTGGCTAAGTGCAAGCCGTTAGCGACGAACGTGGTGGTTGATGGTCCCAGCCGCATTTTGCTTGTTCTTACAAATGTTACATCCAGTCTGGGTCTTCACGAGACGTACGTAGTGGACACCCGTATCCCTGTGTGGAATCCATCGCAAGGTGCATTTCAGAAACTGATATCACTGATGTATTGCGCCGCAAAGCGGGCACTTGCGGTTCAGCTCGTGAAGTACAAATACACTGGCCTGACGCATGGTCGTACCTGATGAAGTACACGGCCACTGGATCAAGTGTGCAACGGGCTTTGTACTTGGTTGCGGAGGCAGCGCGCAACCTGGATTTGGGTTTTTGTTCAAACCCGGCTATGTCATTCCCGGTTTATGCAATGCGACTTAAGCCCGACCTCTTGCCTGCACTGCCAGGGGTCAAGTTTATTAACAGTAACTGGGGAGACGCCAGTACTGATATTCGCGCGGCGATTATCACAATTAATGCCCACAATGTATATCCACATGGCTTCCATCCGTCTTTGTGGGTGAATTATAAGATTACCGATGAGGGGACGCGGGATATTCTCACGCTTACGTCCGTAGACGGCAGTGACATTAGTTGCAGATGTCACCATTCCTCCCCTGACATGCTTATAGCTCGGTTTCTTGGGTTAATTGCATCTGGGCCAACAATCAGCTTTAGCCATGTAAGCGCTGTGCATGAAAACATATCCGCAATCGCAGCCTTCCAGTGTGTGGGCACTGCATGGATGCAAGCGGCGGCAGGCGTTTCATGGGTCACTTGGGCCCTAAAGGATATACAAGAAGGTTATCAGATGTGTGATTATATCGTGGACGAAATGATCGACGAAGCTACCGTGCATCATGTTGCGCGTGTTGATCCAGGAGAAACATGGGCCAATTACGTGATTTCTTGTTTCGGCGTCGACAATCGCACATCATCAACACTTTTGAGCTGGTGGGCGATAAAATACATCATGCAAAAAATGAATTATTTCATTCCAGCCCAGATTCAAAAGAGACAACTTCACGTAGGACATCAGTTGCGTATCGGCTTATATTTTAACAGTTCATCCGAATGGCAAGCACTTCAGCGAGCTACCAGCTGCATTACAGTGCACTACGGCGTCCCAGTGTACGCCACAAACAGTTCAGAGTCGGCTAACTTGAATCTATGCTATACGCATTACAACTGGCTGCGTCAC